AAAGTCTTGAGATGCCTTTTTCCAGCAACACTCTCTCAATGCTGACCACTACTAGTTTCAATAACCTTGTCAGGATTTAACACACTAACAAGACTTATGCTTATATGCATGCTATGTGTAGTATTTTTATTGCTTGTTCATAGGATTGGAAGTTGATATTTAGCGATTCACAATTTGAGATACATGGTATATATATGAGTTTCCTTGTTTGGATTATTAGCTCGACGTACTCATCTCATGTTGTGGGTTTTTAAATCTTAACCCCTTTTAGTACAAGAGAGCATCTCTTTTAACTGTAGGATCACCTGGACTCCATAGGTCCTTAAGTATATTATCTGGTTAAGTCTTTAGTATTATAAGGGCGTCGTACTCAAATATGCGATATCCTAGATAATATTTATCACCTCCACGTGGGACATGTAAAAAGTGGATTCGAGGGTATGAAAATTTTTATAAACTCAATGACGTGTCATGGTATACTTGCTACACTAAATGAATGCTATCTGACTCTGTCAGTTTTCCAGCAAGTGAAGGGTTCACATTTTATGGGATATTGTGTCATAGGAACTCAAGTATCTAAATAGGTAAGACTTGATAATGGAAATCACCTGAAATGCCATGATTAGATTAAAACCCGATTTATACCTATAGTATTTATCTTGGTTGATACTGTGTTTAACATGCATGACTTTATGGAAAACTGTTGCTTGATCACCTAGTTGTCATCCAATAGGAGAGATTGTGTATGAAGACGACTCCTGTTAAAAATGTGATTTATAAGCATGCTTTCATAGCATGGCTATGCTCTGGATATCGATATCCCGATATGAGGTTTTTTCCTTGGCTATTACTATTATAGCATCGACTAGACGATGTACCCATCTTGATTGGACATGTTCTAGATCACGGTTATTTTTCATAGTTTTACGAAAGTTATTCCACGGTAACTCTGCGGTTAGTTGATACGAGTTGTCGTGCGAGCACCTTTGATCGCGGAATTATCAAAGGTGAGTTGAGAAGAGGATGACAGAAACACAAGCACAATTCAGTATATGGCGAAGGAAAATACCTTCTCTAGATTATGAGTATGAAAAGATTATAATCCCTCTCTCACAATCTCACTAGAATCGAGAACAAACTCTTAATTCTCACTAACACAATCTCACTAGAATCGAGAACAAACTCTTAATTCTCACTAAACCCTAATACAATGATTAGAATCTCTATCTGAATCTCTCTCCCTTTAGAAACCCTAAAACAATCCTTTATATAGGTGTACAAACGTGGATGGCAATTTGGTAAATAACCAGACCCAAAACCAACAGGAATTCGTGTGAACAGAAACCGAAACGAACCAGGAAACCATCGATGAGTCGACTCATGACTGAGATGAGTCGACTCGTCAGAAACTGGACAAAACTCAAAAACCAGCAATGAGTCGACTCATGACAGTCATGAGTCGACTCAACCTGATGAGTCGACTCATGATTGTTATGAGTCGACTCACAGACTGAAAACTGGATACTTCGATTCTTCTGCTCGTCGTCTCGTTCCACGCTTCCTCCTGCGTTCTCTTGTACTGTTTGACACCTCTATTCTCATGCTATCATGAGAATCATCTATTCTCAAACTTCCATAAGGATCGCTAAGTTCCGAAGAGAAGATACACCCGTATCATTAGTGCATAACATTTCATGCACAAGCATTTAAATTAAACCGACAAATATGGGGTTTATCCCATCTTGATTGGATATGTTCTGGGTCACGGTTATTTTTCATAGTTTTATGGAAGTCGTTCCACGGTAACTCTGTGGTTAGTGTAAGCTATCTAAAAATTACAACAGATAGTTGATCCCTATCAAATTTTAATGATAAAAGTTACTACTCGACGACTTCTACATCAACATTTCGACAATAAAAGTTACAATCATACGACTTTCGCGTCAACAAACGAAAGCTACAATTGGAGAATTTTTACGGAGATCGAGAAAGGTTACGATTCAACGACCTGCACGACAATCGATGAAAAGCTCTGATTCAACAGGCTTCACAATCAACAGTGAGAGTTACAATCTAATGACTCTCATCTCAAAATAGCTAAAGCGAAGATTACAGAACAATAGTCTTTGCAACGTTTTAACAGAAGAGGTTACAAACCTACAATCTCTTCAAAAAACACAGCAACGACCGCTGCGTTTCAGCTTCAAAACACATAACGATCTCTGCGTTTCAGCTTCAAAACGCAATGCGGCCATTGCGTTTCAGCATTAGGCAGATGCCTAACTCTACGTCCCAAGTCTGAGACGCAGAGTTCGGTTCCAGAACATCAGTTTAAGGCGTTTGACTCGTTCAAACACGAGCTGAACGGCTTCAAAACCGTTTTCCCCACATATTGAGGGATTCTCGCCCACTTAGGAGCGGATTAAGGGGTCAGTTACACCCCCCTTATCCTCTTATAAATATCCAATCAACTCAACCGAGTAAAAGGATCAGATTTTGGGGGGCGGTCGGCATTTTTTGGCAAAAGAAATCTGATTTTGGGCTGATTCTGATTGAAAGGAGGTTTGAGGTATCTTTTCAGCAACGGATAGCTTAATTCATTAACCAAATTTTCGATTTAACAACAACTATTTTCACAAAGTTTATACTCGTTCTGAGTTCATAAACTCTTAAGAGTTCTTTTCATACTTGTCACGCAAGTTTACATTAACCGTTCCAGTGAAGTGAGACATCGGATCGTCAACGAGAAGCAAACTCAATACGAACGTCGAGGGAGGCATCACATCGCTACCGTAAAAAACCTAGTTTTAAACAAATGGGAGGATCTCTGTCGACCCTCTTCTCTTTTGTAAATCGGAATTCCGATAAAAGAAAATTGTAATTTCTTTTTTTTAAGTTAGTTAGAGAGAAATTGTATTGAGAGAATTGTATTCATTCTTTGTCTAAGCCAGTTAGAGAGATGAGAGAAATTGTATTGAGAGAATTGTATTCATTCTTTGTCTAAGCCAGTTAGAGAGATAATACAATAAATCATATTCTCATTGAGAGAATTGTATTCATTCTTTGTCTAAGCCAGTTAGAGAGATAATACAATAAATCATATTCTCAATTGTCTTCTTATAAATTTCCCACAAACAGTTAGTGCATAACATTCCATGCACAGTCATTTAAATTAAACCGACAAATATAGGGTTTATAAAGGAGAATTGGACGGAGAATATATAAGGTATATAAACAGGCTCATGCGCATTCCTGATATCTTGAGTTATATATACAAGGACCAAGGGCCAATACGTGACTTGAAGTCGTGTTCTTGGGACGTGTTACGGGAAGGACCGACTTATATACCTGATATTACTCTCCTCTAATTCAAATAACATGTAAAATAAGAATAATGTGCTTGTGTGTCTTGTGGTAGACTTTATTTGATATCTACAATTAGCATTTTCCTTTATCAGCTTTAATTAAGATTTCATCTTTTCTTTATACATGTCGCCTACACTTACATTTCATACAAAATTTTCTCATTTTACATGCTTGCTAGGAGTTTTCTAACTCCCCTGGGGTTTGCGTGCCCCAGACTTGGGGACCATTCTTTCTTAACAGGACCGAGAATACTTTGAGGATCAGACCCAACGGCAGTGATCACCTTCTGTCCTATTACTCTTATCTTTATTTTATTCAGGCAGTAATTTGGTTTATACTTTTCCTATAACCACCTATGGTTCTCCAGACTATGATGTATTTTTCTTTTTCTCACTTTGGATAGTTGTGGACTTGTCATAGAACTCTGTCTTTTCAGAGATTTTTTTATCTATCTATTTTCTTTGTTATCTTAGTTACATGCACTATGTAGTAGTTCTTTTGGCAATATATATGTATACATAATGATCCAGAGACGTGAATGTGACTATATGGTTGCATTGTCGGCCGAGTCACGTCCCAAGTTATTACGTTTTGGAACCGGGGCGTGACAATAAGTAGATCCCTTTGTCTTCTCCATGTATCTTTTCATAGATGGTCTTAATATATAATAAGTTCCACAATTGATTTCCCTTGGATAAAGCCAAATTGGTTCTCAAAAAGACAAATCTTCTTTCGTTCGTCTCTGCTCAATTACCCTTCTCCAAAAGCTTTATAGTCTAGCTTGTAAGTTTGATACAACAAAGTTTTATAGTGTAATTTGATTCAAAAGATTAAAGGTGAAAAATAACACTTCGGATATTAATATGCCATGTAATAATTTGTACCCAAAAGCATCAACATTTTATCACAGTCATAAAGGGTGCTGATAATAATAGAATAAATGCTAACCAAACTAGAGAAATAGAACTAACAACCTCTCATACTCAAACTAGAGAAATAGAACTAACAACCTCCCATACTTATTGAATCAGGTGGAAAGAGGATAGAAAGATGACTGGAGTTGTTGCACTGGCAGACGGTACGTTGCCAATGATCGCTATATGACCTTTACCATCGAATCACAATAAAAATATATTATAATTTTAGGTATCAAAATACTATTTGAAAGTTATTAAACTTGAAAGGTGCAAAAAAATAGGGATGTAGATGTTGTTGCAGATTGCATAAATCTATTTGAGAAAAGTTAAATTGACTCAAACCTATTCTCAAGACATGAGAACAAATTTCAGTGGATCAATCTCATATGTCAAGTTATTTCAGCACTAGAAAAATGGATTCTATAAAATAAGGATACATGATTCAACTTTGGTGGAAATATATGGATTTTAGGTAGCCAATTTAAACCTAATAACAAAACACTGTTATCTACCTTATCAGCTTATTAGGAAGCTGTCAATCAACAAAACAATATATATTTTACCTGTATAGGTACCTTCTGTACAAATATTGGTTTCATCTCTGAATTACAATGACAATTACATGCTAGGTCTATGTCCAAAGTATAGATAGAACAGATATGAGAAATTCATTAAGTAAAAACAATAGTGAGCATCAAAATGTAAATAGTTGTGTACTTGGCATAAATCCTCTTTCTGAACATGCTGAAGTGCAGATTCCGTATGTTGTACCCAGTTTACTACCCTCTCTAATTTTGCTCTAGCTCTCTCCCCTAATTGGCCATGTGTCACTAACTCATCAATGGCTGCATTAAAGAAAATCAGAAAAAACAATCATATAAAGAACTAGGTAGACAAGCTATCAAGGTACTATCTATAAAAGTATGTGAGTGCATTATTGTAAGAGTGAACTCTTTCCTACCTCTCAATATAACATTGTCAAATATCTTTTAGATGTTTCGAAACTCAGATCTCTTCCATTGGTTGCCCATTAGCCAATATCAGTAATTATTAGTTTCTAATAACCAAATTTTGCAGCATTTGGTGGTTTCGGCTGGATAGAATCAGCATGCTTAATCCAATATGAGACAGTCAATAGTAACAATATCCTCCAGCAGTTTAAACCTTGAGGTTATGTCAGAAATATATGAAATATATGGATAATCATTCTAGGGATGCATTGGATATTTGTAAATTATGCTTCTATATTATTCTATGAGGCGTAGTTTACTTTTCAATTTTTGGGTCGGACGAGTTTTTCTTTCAAGCAACAAAACATGAGAGGCTTTATAGGGAATCTCAATCTGAGTCCTCAGTCCTCAGAGCCTGTTGCATTCAGAAAAGTGTTTCCACTGGTTACCTACCTTCTATTGGACAATTGAGCTAACAAGTTAGTCTGGAGAAAATTCCTTTTAGTCTTCCAAAAAGATCTTCCAAGAATGCCTCCAGATAGAGAGTTTGAGTTCTTAATTGACTTGGTCCTTAAGCACTAGGCCAATTCAGAAGCTCCATGTACAATTGCTCATGCAGTTGAAGGAACTCAAAAGAGAAGTTGGACAAGGGATTTATTAAACCTAGTGTTAACATTGAGTGCATCTGTCTTATGTGTGAAGGATGGTGGTACGCAATTTTCTGTGTTGATTACCGGAAGTTGAAGTAGGCTACCACATTTCCATTGCCAAGCATTGATGACATATTCTATCGGTTGCAAGGAGCTCAGGCGTTATCTGAGATTTTTTTTCGATCGAGCTACCGTTAATTGAAAATCAAGATAGAAGATGTTTCTAGGACATCTTTTCATGATATGATTGTCATGAATTTCTTGTATTATCATTAGCGTTTATGTATGTTCTGGCATATTTTATGGACCTCATGAATGGAGTATTTAACTTTTCTCGGATCATATGTTATGATGTCTATGCACCACAGTAGATGAAAGATGTTTCCAATGTTTTAAAAGCGTTCTAGCCTGCCTAGGTGTATGCCTAGGCGGTACCTAGGCCGCTCGCCTAGCGGCTACTAGCGTCTAGGCAACCAAGCTAGATTCTGGAATCGCCTAGGGAAGCGTGATCTGTTTATGCGGTTGCACTCTTTAGACCTCAATCGTGATTCCTTCCATTGTAGTCTCCATGTCCTCCAACCTCCTTCCAACTCATTCAGCCTCCAATTATGAACATATCCTCTACCTCCTCCAACATTCAACAAAACTTCCTCTACCACCACCTAAACGAAGAAAGAAATCCACCTAGGCGTCAATCTGACACCTAGGCTCTCTATAATATTGGCATTTACTATCAATATCTATACTTATCAAATAAACATAAGAAAACTGCCTAGGCTCCCCCTAGTCATCTAGACTCTAGGCGTCGGATCAAATACCTAGCTGCCTAGCGCTTTTTGTAACCTTGGATATTTCATATTTCTAAGACCTCTTTTCATGATATGATTATTATAATTTTCTTGTATTTGATTAGAGTTTATGAATGTACAAGCAACATATTTTATGGACCTCATGAATGGAGCATTTAACATTTCTTAGATCATATGTTATGGTGTCTAGACATTGCAGTAGATAAAATAAACAAAGAGATGCAGGCTAAGACAGAGAAGAAAAATAGATAACCAGGGAGGTGGGGGAAGAGGCAGAAACGTAGGTTATCTCTATTATCTTAATATTACATTCCTAGATAAAATAAAATTAATCTTCAAATTAAATGTAAAAGTTTTAATTAACACCAAATTAAGATTTTTTTTTTTTTTTGCTTAATGATCGTTTAAACTTACATTTTAGATGTGGTCTTTCTCAAGTTTTGGTTGTTCATATAGTTCGTTACTTGCATATATCACTGGTATTGTCACATAGGTCCTTTACTTGTTTTTCTTCTTGTTCTTCTTCTTCTTCTTTTTTTTGCCTTGCAATGAGTTGTTCAATTTTAAACTAACATTTCTCAGTCTCATGTTCTGACCCAGATGTCCCAGTGTGTATATTACACAATAAGCTCCATATTATATTCACACCCAAAAAGAAAGAAACCAATAAAAGATCAGTGTTATTCCATGTAAAGGTTCTGGTCCCTTATGGTTAAAATTGATACCCAAATAAGCACATCATATATGTTATATTAGAACTGACAAAAATTAAATAATTTTAATTTGGAGATTAGAGGATAAGAAGGAACCGAGAGACAGAACAAAAAGAACTCATAAATCATAAAAAAATAATACATCATAAGGAGAAGGACAAATGATCTTAAGCCCATGTTTGGTTTAAATGAAAATAAAGAAAAAGAAAAAGAAAATGGTTTTGTATTGTTTGGTTAGGTGGAAAGATAAGAAGAAAAGGAAAATCAGAATCAGCGATGAAAAAAAACTTATGGAATTTTCATTCTACTTTTCGTCTTCTAAACAGAGTGAAAGCTGAGGAAAAAATAGTCGGGGCCGATTGATTACGCGACCCCAACCCACGCCATCAATGTCAGCAAGATATTCTATTTGGTTGTGTGTGGGCCCTACTTGGATAAAAGACGATCGAAAGGCTCTCGGACTCCCTGCTAATCTCTTTGGTTGTACGAGGGCCCCACTTGAATAAAAGACAATTGAAAGGCTCTCAGATTCTCCTGGCTCATGTTTATTAGTCAAACTATGGAGTAATGAGAATATGAACCATTAAAAAAACAAAAAAATATATGGAGAGCCCTCTTTTTTATAGAATATTATATTATATTTAGAATTTTAAAACCTGTCAAAAGATATATTTAAAGTCAATGACTGTTATTACATATGTATTTTATTATTGATTCATACTCTCTCTATAGAACATTATAATACATATTATTATTTAGTATAATTTAACTATATTCTGTATCTCATTTTTATTTAATTAATACTGCTTTCCTTCAAATTTCTTTCTAGCATTTTCTTCCTAACCAAACATCATAAAGAATCTTATTTCATTTTCTTTTTCTTTTCTTTTCTTTTTTTTTCTTTTTCCTTTTCTTTTCCTTCACTTTACCTCAAACCAAACACAGCCTAAATGAATCCATTTAATTCTTAAATGGAAAAATATTATTTTCATTATATGGCATGTATAATTTTTCTCAAATAAAATTTAGTACAAACCTTTTTTATATATGAACAAGGAAGAAGGTTTTGATTCATGGAATTTTGTCTTCGTCATTTGCATAATGCTTGAAGAGAAGCATAAAACAATTAGGAAAAGGTGCAAGTATAATCTGGTTGCAAATAGTCATCTAGGCAGACAAATATGATTAGAATGAGCAGATAAAAATAAGACTGGATGCACTTATACATCTTTCCGACACTTGAAATTTGAAATAATTGCCCAAGGATTCATGTGATCAAGCTATAAGCTATACAGCCTATACTATTGATCCTAGCCCGCTAAATGTCAAGAAAATTTACTTTTTTATTAAAAAATAGATGTAAAGAAAACTGAACTTCACCAATGTATACCTAGGAAACGTATTGGCCAATACACAACTAACATATGCCTTTGGCTTCGTTACAGAGAAATTTGTGCTTAGTAGTTAGTTCCACCAAAAAATTAAGTTTGTGGTTATTGCTAGGAACCTCAAGAATATTTATCAATAAATGATGTAACTGGATATAACTTGAGATAGTAAGAACCTATGACATGTTCTCATGCAGGCTAAAAGGACCAGGGACCCATGGATGTCCATAAATTAATATAACCATGAAACCAACAATAAGATTTTAAAAATTCAATGAAAAATAGTATGGGAAGATATAGGAAAATTAACACTCAAAAACATCCCCTATCAATGAATATGTAAATAATGATTACCTTTACAGGCATGTAACTCGCAACTGTGTACCAAAACCAACAGTGAAGAAATATGGACCGTTGCAGCTTCCAAGAGATTTCTAAATTCTACAATCTTAACATCTGCAGCACAGATAGTGCACTAAGGTTTAGGTAAAATGAAGGAGAAAAGGAAAAATTTTACTCTTAACACAGAAAAGCGCAAAATGTACCAAAAACATACTTTTACATTAATTCTTCACCCACTATCAGGAGCTCAACAGGACTAAAGAGGGTTTGAAGACAATACCAATATATAGCTCTTCAAAGGATATATAATAATAGATAGTTATTCCGGGAAGTAATCACTAGTTAACGAGATATATGTACTTGTGGGCTTAAAAGCAGAAGCAAAAATTATATGATGTAATAACCAGCATACAAGATAGACAACAATAGTGTGCACACGCATGCGCGCACGCACACACACACACACACACACAAGATATAGTCATAGAGTGATGTCATTCGTGACAGCCACATGTCTAGGTGAAGTCTCTAAATAGCCTTTCACGCAGATGTAAGCAATATCGGCTGTAAAACTTAAAAGGCCTTAATCTATGGATATTTCCACTTAATTTCTTAATAGCTCAGGGAGTGGAGAAGTTCTCTTCCTCTTTTAGACATTGTCTTCTGTGCATGAGAAATCCTTGTTCTCCATGTAGGAGCAGAGAGTTTTTTTACCATGAAATCAATTGGGAGATAATATAGCTGAAGTTCTCTTCCTCTTTTAGACAGTGTCTTCCGCACATGAGAAATCCTTGTTCTCCATGTAGGAGCAGAGAGAGTTTTTTGACCATGAAATCAATTAGGAGATAATATAGCTTTATTGTTAGGCTTGATTATTCACATTGTTTGCATCATAATATCTTGTACTAACTCAGCAAAAGCACAGGCGAAATGACAAGGAACAAGGTAGATCAGTAGAGTCTCAAAAGAACTAGTATCTAGGATTGATTAAACTTATACTAGAAATGATCCACCTCTGCAAACAACCACAAAAAGAATGCACTGTAGTATGCTTCCAGACACATAAAAATGATCACGTATGGGCCAATAATTGACTCCCTCTATTTCAGATATGGTTGCACTAGCACTAGCACTAGCATTATATATTTCATTGCATGTTAACAGTTCAAACTGAAAAGTACAAGTTTGATTTCCCTTATTATCACTTATCAAAGTGATCTACTACTTAATGTGCAATGACAGAATAGTAGATTGTTGATATAATTAGAAGGCTAAATTGCACTCAAATACCACAAAGTTCCCCGCTCTGTCACTTATATAACAGAAGTTGTATTTTGTGGCAGAAAAATTTCATAAGTTGTTAAAAAATTGGCACCCTAGTGCCCTCAGTAATGCAAACATGAAAAACTTCCCCTAAATGTTTCTCAGTGAGTCTTACATGCTAATTTTAGAGCTTTTTAACTATTATTATTTGTTAAATTTGCTATTAAATCAACCAAAAGTCTATTCAAACTTATCATAATTCTACTTTAAAATAGAGTTGGGATATGTCCAATGATAACAAATATTAACGCTTAGGAAGTTATAAAATTAACATGTTAGTGTCATATGGGAACATTCAAATGGAAATTTTCACGTTTGCATGATCAAAAGTACTGTCGTGTCAATTTTTTAACAACTTCTGGTATTTTTTTGCCACAAATTATGACTTCGTGGTATATAAGTGACAGAGCAGGGAAACTAGTGCAATTTAACCTAATTAGAATACTAACTTACTAAATTTTCCTTTTGCTCTCATTTTCAATATTAGATACACTTGTGAATCGTTCCAAACATTTGATGTTAACTGTTTTGTTCAAGATGGTTAGTATATGCTATATTAACTTACATGATGATTAGTATATGTTATATATGTATTCAAATTCTTTTGTACATCCAGAGGGGCATCTAGGTTCATAGTCAACCACAAGTCATATTTTTTATAGAAGTTAGCCCATTTTCGAAACAGCAGTTGCAAAAGGATGCAATTGTAATGAGATAGCCAGATACGATTGCAAGTATTGCAACTGTTTTCTTCTTTTTCTTCTTCTTCTTCTTCTTCTTCTTCTTCTTCTTCTTCCGGCAAATTTCATATATAGTTACAGTTGCAATTTTTTCCCAAACCAAACAACTCCATTGTCTATGTACTCTAAAACTGTATCATGAAATCTGTAAATTTTCCAGAATAAGGAAATCAAAGCCATATTATGTAAATGGCTTTATTCATATTCATTAATTGAGTGTAGTTCAAGTATATATACACAAGCAAACAAGAACATGATTATATATATTAAGAAAGCTCACTTTGTAGCAGTATGATGTCACCAGCAACAACCATAGATCCCATATACTTCTGCCAAACAGATACAGAGAAATACGACATTGTATCATCACCAACCTGAATATTTGTCTTTAACAATGTGCCTCCGTTGTTGGAAGCATCATCTCTCTGCAGGAAAGATATCCCTTTATAATAAAAAATACAAAAAAAGGAACATTTGGAATATATTTTAGGGTAAACTTCAGTAAAAAATCACGAGTTCTGAGATGTTTTGCACATAATAACCATAAAGTTTTTTTCATTAAAGAACTACCGAGTTTTTCACTAAACTATTATGTCTGGTGGCAAGTAGACTAAGTTGTTACATACTTACACATGACATGTTTTTAAAAATTTTGCCCTTATATATTTTGTCTATCTTATATGTTACCCTTATGAACTGTGTGGGTTGATAGGTACAAATAAAGGAAGTTTTGGAACTTTTATCCAAGATGGTAACGCCATTATCAACAATTTCCAATATTTCATGGTATATGATCGCAGTTTTGGAAGTTCATTTTATGGTCGTTTGGTGCAAACCCCATGGATGTTTTGTGAAATTTCCCTATATTCTAATCAAAACTGTTTATACAGAATAAATAGACTTATAATGTCAGCACTCAGCCAGTAGCAAACTAGTGCATTCTAAAACAGCGAACAAAACCCAACGCAGAAATCAGTATTTCCTTCTCATAGATTACAAATTTTCACATATTCCATATAAATAAATGAAAAAGTAGGACCTCAGTGTGCATTAATGGTCACATGGTTGCAGTTAGTCTATTATGAAAGATGGCATAGTGCAACTTCAGACTATTAAACTAAAGATAAATTTTCATCATACGAAAACTTATTTTAATTTGGCGTAAACCTATTCTAAAATAAGAAAACCCAATATTGATCCTAGGCTCAGTTAAAGCCAATGTTTCATGGGCAAACAAATGATCAAACACGTGGTGGACATACAGGTACTTTGACTAGCTGACTTTAGATAAAATTTTCATCATACTAAAATCCTTCAAAAATGAGAAAACCCGATAATTTTGAGAGAAGAGCCATAACGAATATTTTGTGGGTGTTACACCACGAAAATTGCTTAAATGCCATATATCCCTCACATGGTAAGGACGCCAGAGAGGAGACCCAGGTCCCAGCTTCACTACGGGTAACCTTTGCTTTAGGAGAGTCTAACAGTAATACTTGGCCCCCCACGTGTCGCCTATACTACCGCACGTTTCTCCCAAAGAAAAGGAGGCAACCACCAACGAAAGGCAGTTCCAGTTAATTCAGATGCCAACACGTGTATCTTCTTCATAATCCGGACCAAACACCTCTATAAGAGGAATAAACCTCAGTAAACTTCTCTAACCTAACTTTTTGCTAGGGTTCTGCCGCATTTATTATCCTTTACTAATTTGGAGAGACTATGGCTTAGGCATGGCGTATCCGAACCCCCAAACCCAGGGATGATTCCGGCGCCGCCTAACGAGTTGTTTCAAAGTGCAGGTTAGGGTGAAGATTAAGGATTCCAACCCTTACGGATTCATTGGAGCCCAAGTTTCCCTTATTCATCCCCCATAATTGGAAGGATAATCTGTGAAATTTACTGTGTTCTAAGAGCGGCCCAGTGGGTAAGCAAATGATCAAACACCTGGTGGGCATACTGACACTTTTTGAGAGAAGAGCCCACAACGCACATCACTATTAGCGAACTTCAGAGAAAATTTCATCATAGATACATTATTCAAAAAATGAGAAAACCCAATATTGATACAGGGTTGAAAATCAATGTTTTGTGGGTAAAGCAAATGATCAAACGCCTTCTGGGCATACACCAAAATTTACCGAGAAAATCGGACGGTGACCTTAAGAGGGCGAGGCTGAGGTTGAGAGGAGCGGACGAAGACGAGGAGCTGCACGAAGTCGTCGACGTGAGCGGAGGCGTTGCAGAGGTCGATCAGAGGCCCGTACCATCCCGTGATTGCCGATGATGACGCCATTTGTGTTTTCGGAGTTTATGGGATTACTATTGCCTGCTTGGGCTGTTACTGCACCTTAATAAATACCTAATTTGGACTTATACACCCACACTTGGTCTTGGCAGCACTTACATATACCTCATTTAAAATATTTATTTATATGCCTTCATTTGTTTGGGTCCCACTTATATATGCCCGAAGGGCAAGTTTGGAATTGTCCCTGCAGGAAACTTAAGTGAATACAGAAAAAAGTTAGAAGGATATTAAGATAACATACTAAACTTGTTTGGAAATTTAGTAAGGGGAACTTATTTTACCCCGTTTTGTAAGTTTAGTAGGGTGAAAGGAAGGTAATAGAACATATGCAAATTTATATGAAAAAAATCTAAAGTTTTCCTTCTGGGTTACATTAACTTCTCTTCCATTCCTACTTCAAATGAATTCCCAAATAAGGTCAATATGCCCTCTATCTTCCTTCACCTCACATTAATGTCATTCCAAAAACACTCTATATGGGTGTGTTTGGCAACTCACTAAAATTGGGTCATACTTGGTCCTTAAACTGGTTTTAGAAAGAACTATTTTAGTTGTGGGTCAAATCCCTCTTGGTCCACAACTAAACCAGTTTAGAGGCTCAAATTTGAACTAAAGGAAACTGATGCACTTCTGAACCATTTTTTACCAATTAACAATACAGTCTAAAACTATATCAGGTTCAAACTCCTCGTTTTAGGTAGTTGCCAAACACCTTAAAAGTTTTTAAAAGGTGCATTTGAATACCCTAAAGTTTTAAAAACTTGCATTTAAATGCCCTTAGTTATGCAAACGCTAGATTACCCGAACACTTCATTTTGGATGTTGTATCCGGGTTGGACACGGATTCACCGCACACATGCCACGAACATGTGTATTCAAAGCAAAATCCAGTTTTCCCATTACTTATAACCCTAAATTAGTTTCTTTGATATATAAAGCTCAAAACCGATAGGTTTTTTTAATCCAAAAAATACTCAGCATATCTCATGCGGTCAGAACAAAATTTTTATTGTTAAACTATAATTCGTAGTTCGATTTAACTAGATTCTTAATTGTTATAGATAGTAAAAGAAACATACAAATGTTATGAGAATTTTAGTTTAATATCTAATCCAATGTAAATATTAGTATACATATGTGTGTGTGTGTGTGTGTCCTCATATCCTAGCTTTTACAAATTTATTGTGTCATGTGTCTGTATCTTTACTTGTGTCCACACCCGTACTCGTATCTGTGCAACCTAGTGCAAACTCGAGAATTTCCCTCTGAAAATTCTCATGCAACATTCACATGCTAATTTTAGATCTTTTTAACCCTTTATTTTGTTAACTTTACTATTAAAAATATTGTAATTCTATTTTAAACCTACCATAATTCTATTTTAAAACAAGACTTTGATAGTCTAACAATAAATCAACAAATATTAAGGGTTAAAATATTCTAAAACTAGCATGCAAGTATCACATGACAGCCCTGGGTTAGGGCCGGGGGTGGTTGTTGTGTTTGCATACTGATGGAATTAAGTGCAAGTTTTAAAAACTTTAAGCTTGGTTTGAACGCAAAGGAGGGAATGGGAGGGAAAGGATTGAGGTAAACCCAAGGGAGGGCCGGAGGGGTGGAAAGTAAAGTGGTGGAATATACTTAATTTTGTTCGGATAGACAAGGGAATGGGAGGGTACACTATAATATGAGTGTGTTAAGAGTAGAGGATAGAAATGGATGGGAAACTACTAAACCAATATGAGTATCTATCAATTTTATTAATTATGAGTTTTGGTTTTCTACCATAAGTTAATTTTGGAATTTCATAAAAAATCCACTTACAATTCCTTCCTTCTCCTCCCAATCTGTCCACTTTAGGAGGGTTAAGAAAATGGATGAATTTTCTAATTTTTAGTCATCCCCTCCTCTCCCCTAGCTAACTAAAAAAGTTTAAAAAATAAAATTTTAGGAGGATTTACAATGGTAACCTACCTCCCTCCCCCTCCTCTCCTAGAAAATTCTATCCAAACTCAGTGATAGGGTATATAAGCATTGACAAAATTAAGTGAGGGTATATAAGTGCAAATTTTATAAATTTTAGGGCTTATAATTGCTAAAAAAATAAGCGAGATTATATAAGTACAAAGTAAGAAAAACTATAGGATATTTGAGTGCTATTAAGCCTTCTTCTAGAGGGACTAGTATGGTGCACGTGCGTTGCACATGGACAACTTGTTTCGTGCTATGAGATATATGGAAAAAAACGCTCCAACTTATATATTTATAATAAAATAAATCATACTAAAATTGAGCTAAATTCCATCTTAATATATGTTAATTTTGGATAATTTGCATTATTTTACTCATAATTTATAGCATTTTATTCATAATCAAATCAAAATATAATGCTATGCTACATAATTGTTTTCCTACAATTAATTGTAAAATAGTTATAAATGGCATAAGCTTAAATTCACATTGATGTTTTTGTTTTATGGAATTTTTTTTGCATGAATTCTATAATCTATTGTGAAAATAAACTTACACTAAATTATAGTTAGCAAATAAACAATTTGAACGTAAACTATTGTGTTGATATATTTAGAATTCAATGTGTTATAATCATTCACAATTCAGGAGTAAGAAACAAAAAGTAGAATATATCTATTATTTGTGTATCAATCAAACAACTTTAAATGTAATGCATGCAAGATAAAAATCATGTGAAACCTTTATTTTGATATAGCTTTCTATTAATGATGATATTTCTATAGTTCATTGATCTTTATGAAATTACCCTAGAGGGGGGTGAATAGGGTATATGCTAATCTCATCCGATATTAATACCAAATTAAAACTTATTAACAATATCCTAGTAATTATGATATACAACAAGATATATGAGCAAGGATATGCAATTAAACTAAGGGCGATATAAATATGAGACAATGGTGATATAGAATGTAATAAACAATGAGCACAAGAGTAATACGCCAAGGTAATCGTAAACACACAATATGATCACGGAGTTCGGTTACTCCCGGCCTACGTCTCCACTCTCGAGGAGAATCTCCACTATCATAACTGGTTTTCAACGTTCACCGAAAACGTTTACAACTCACACAATCGGTTTTCTAGCTCACCGAAAACTTTCACAACCTACACAATTGTATCACACAATACACCCTCTAAGTATTGGCCTGGCCCGTGTTGACTTCCTCAAGTGCTTGGATTTACTACCTCTCCCTATGCTTTACTACCGACGACACTCCTCTTTGAATCGACCACGTCTCTCACCACACACTCCTCTCGGTGTACTTGTGTATTACAATGTGTTCACTCAACAAATAAGATCAAATACAAAATATTTTATTCTCTATCAAGATAAAAACTCAATTAAGCTCACACTCAATCTTACAACCCCACAACCCAATAATTACACTATATGTGAAAATGCTTAAGCTCAAGGGGTGTGTGTGTGTAAACAATGAGCAATAATCAAAAATAAACTCAATATGAAATCTAGCTTAATGAAATGGTTAATCAACAAATATATATAAAGCTAGAAATTGAGTTAGAGAAAAATTCTCTGAAAACAAGAGTGGGAGAGAATGAATTTGAAGCCCAAACACGAAAAGAATGATCTCCTCTTCCTCTTGTGAAAACCTTTTCACATAAACACTTGGAAATCACAATTAAACAAACTTAAACCCTTGTAAACTTGTTTTAAAACTTTTTTTAGATTTGTTTAAAAGTTTGAGAGTAAGGGGTATATATGGGTTCACAAAACAAACCCCAAAAAACTAAGGAAAAAGACAAATATACCGAAAAATCAGTAAGCTAGAAAACTAGTTGTTACAGTGCCATCAGTCGACTGATATTATTCATCAACCAACTAATGGTTCATTAATCGACTGGGCAGAAAATTTTTGCTATTCCAGTGCATTTCATCAGTCGATTAATACTGTTTATCAGTCGACTGATAACGTGCACATGACATATAATGAACAATAAAAATTGATTTCAAACCCCTTTTAAAAATAGTAAATAAATTCTAAAAATTATAAAACTTTGGAAAATGTTTATAAATATGAAAATAAGTATGTTATAAAAAGAATTTTTCAAATTGTATTTTCCATTTGTGAAAACTCATTATTTTGCAAAATTGGTCAAAATACAAAATCTCAAAAACATGTGATTTTGACAAAATGTTTTCAATCAAGTTTTGAAACTTCTTTTGAAAGGATTAATATACTTTATAAAAGATGTAAAATGATATAAACGAGTATTTTAATCCGTAAATACATATTGTATAAATAAACATGATTTTATTGATTTAAAATTGTTAAAGCTTGATTTTGTTGAAATCGTTTCAAGCACATACAAACATGAAACAAATATGTGTGTATATATAATTATATCCATTTGTTTCATATTTATATGGCTAAACTAAAAACAACTTATCCACATAAATAGATGTATATAAAACAAATATGTATGTATATAAATATATCTATTTGTTTGCAAAAACTTGTGGTTTTGGATAAATTAAAAAAACGATAAAATGAGAAAATGTTTGTGTATGGTTTGAGCTTTAAGTATTAACACACATAATATAAACACCTAAACTAATATACCCAAGCTAAATGATCTCATGATGCTTGATCTTGGGCAATCATCCTCTTCATAATGTGGATGAAGCAATATTGGATCTTGACTTGAATTGTATCGTGCTCCATTCTAAATTTCCTTCCAACCTCATTTAGGTATTGTCGTTAAGCTCAATTCCATCCAACCCCAACATTTATGTTTAGCTAGAATACCTAATAAACAAATACAAACACTAGACAAACAATGTTAGGGATTGTTTATAAATCATCAAAACAAGATTAGACCGTAGGCTCATAAATATGAGACCTAACACTTTATATGTAACTGCATGTGGGAGTAGTATAAGACTATACAAAATTACATGTAACCCCTTATAAGGTTTACAATTCTCCCACCCCTCCCCCTCACCCTAAAAAATTTACAAATTTCAACCCAACCTATCTCAAAACACTAGATAAATTAATAGCAAATTGAATAAGCTCATTGAAAGCATACTGAATACATTTACATCGGGCAATATAGTTTTATAATATTATATTTTTAT